TCAGCGTCGCAGCGGCCCTGGGTGAGGACACCCGACACCACGCTCACCTCCTTCAGGTCGATCTGGATCCACTGGTACTGATCGTTGAATTTGGACAGCCATGCGCACCTAACAAAGATTCACATTCCCAGTTATTTGTTTATCTGGGGTGCGCTGTGTGACACGAACTGGAGACTGGGTGGCCTTGACTCACCCAAAGCCCTGGTTGTTAAGGCGAGCCTTGTTCGGGATCCAGGAGGAGTACCAGCCGGTGTACTGGTCCTGACTGGAGCAGCTGATTTGGTCTGAGGTCACAGATCCAGATTCAAATCCCAGCGGTCTGTGGTACGGACATTCTGTGAAAGGAAACATTTCCAGGTTACTGTGGCATTAAATTGTATGAATTCCTGAAAATAAACACTTAGTAAACTTTCTAAACACTTCCAATGAGCTGGGATGCAGCGATTGGTTCGTTTTTGTGTTAAAAATGACTTAATGCCATTTGATGTTTTGAAGCAGAGCACAGGGTAGATTTAACTGAGCACAAACATTACACGTTCACATGGTAGCAACTACACTATGTTATGTTCTGTATGGGGTGGTCATGATGCTATACTATATGCCTTTTGCTTAGACGAGCAGTGAGCAACAGGTACCAACAACCTTACTGACATTGTGCAAGCACAACAAAATTACTGTTGTGCTAAGCTCATCAAATAACAAAAAAAAAAAAAAAAAAGTAGAAAATGTTAGAAATACGAAATATCAAAATATTGGATTAACATTGTCAAAAAACAACAACTGCATATTTGCAGAAAACCAAATCAGCACAAAGATCTCACACCAGCTGTCAGCACTGTTGTGGAGAGGTGATGAAATGGACTTGTTTTGCAGCCACAGGACCAGGACACCTTGCAGTCATTGAGTCGACCGTGAGCTCTTCCGTATATCAAAATATTCTAGGGGCAGATGTGAGGCCACGTGCCCCGCAGTTAAAACTTGCGCAAGACTGGGTCATGAGGCAGGGCAATGATTAAAGCCCAGCAGCATCTCTATCAAGGAATCAAGGTGCTGCCAAGGCCGAGTCAAAATCCAGACCTCAGCCTCACTTTAATGCTTTTCACCTTAACCTCAATGAACTCAAGGAATGCTGTGAAGAAGCGTGCGACAAAATCCCTCCGCAGTGATATGACAGAATGATAAAGTCATATGGAAAACAATAATTTCAAGTCATTGCTGCATAATGCTTCTGCAGTTTCACAATAAATAATGACACGGTGGAATATGTCATGTGTCGTCCTTCTTCTGATGCATTATTTACCCAATGTTTAAGACCAGGTAAGGACCAGATGGTTTTCCCGGTTGGTTAAACCAAAGAAGTGAAACAGGGTTTACTTTCTTTTTTCCATGATGATAAATTGACTTCAGGTAATAAAAAATATATCAGTTACTTCAGATGAAAATTACTCCCTCTCACCCCTGACTGGATTGGTTTGAAGCTGTCAGAAAAGCGGATGATAGAAGTGATAGAAGAGCTGCCTGAAATGAAATGTTTATTCCATTTTAAAGACATTAAGAACGCAGCAAAGTATCCTCTTCCAGCTTTTCCTCGTGTAATAGTCCAACTTTGCTAATCAGAACTCTTGCATGATGAGGTAGAAGAAGATGATCGGGGCATTTTCTGATGTGTGCTTCCTTTGCTGGTATCATAGGTGAAGGTCATGGCCTATTTGGGCTCCCTAATCTGTTCGTCACATTCCAGCACAGGTAATGAGATTATCTGAAAAGCATTTGCCTGTGCAAGCTTCTTCCTCACAGCTGTTCATTTCTTAACCTTCAGTGCAAGCCTCTTTCATCTTACAGGCTGAAAAACTGCAAGATCAGAGAGGTGATTGTGCACTGCTGCAGCATGAAAGCACATGAGGACACAGCCAGCCTCCATCAGCTGTTTGATCCATCACAGATGTTAAATAAAGATCCACAGGACACAACTCTGCCCACCATTCATCTTCACATGCGTGACTTTCTCCTGCAAGTTAGTGTCCTTTGTATAAAGGGGAACCCATTAATCACTTTTTAAAACCTAAAAAAGGGCATCCAGCATGAGTATAAGTGAAACAGACAGAGGACTACACAGGTGGAGTCCTCACCTGGCATGCAGTTCAGCAGGTGACTTTGAGATGGTGGCGGTGTTGGCAGTGAGGTCGGGGGAACAGGTGGAATGACAGCAGGGATGCGTGCAGATTCGCAGTCACAGGTGCAGGCTTTCGCTTTTGTGCTCCAGGTTTCGATCACCTCCTGGTCCTCCTCCTGCAGGTCCAGGTCCTGGATGACCTCCTCCTCCTTCTCCTGGAGATCACACAGGGTGGAATGAATCGAGAGTTTGCTCTCAGAGTTTAAGACTTTTAAACCACATTTTAGACCTTTTTGAGACTCTTTCTTACCTCCTCTGAGTGAACAGTGACAAGGGCTATACACCCCATTGACAGAAGCATGAAACGTAAGAGCAGATGATAGAATAAAATGTGTAAGAAAAAAGAAAATGACCTAAAAGAAGCACCATGTCAAACAATCTTATGAATTATTGGATTGCATCTGAGGATTGCATGAAGGAAACACCAAGGAAAAGCTTTTTACCCTCTTTATAATTTCACTTGCAGCAGCAGCATTTTTGTGTAGTACTACGCACTGCTGTTTTAATAACTTGTGGGACCATTAGCATTATCATAAAGGCACAATAACTGTTGCGATTATTTTAAGGGAGGATCAGCTGCACAGTGACTTACCCTGAGAGAGAAGCAGGAGGAAAAGCACAGCAGCTCGACAAGCAGGCATCTCCATCTTTCCTCTTCAGCTGTGCTGAAATGAGATGTGTATGATACCCACTGCAAGTGGATGGGATTACTGTAATCCACAGGCCTGCAATGGCCTTACCTAATGCTCCTTATTGGCCCTTAGACACCTCCCTCAGGTGCTCTTGCACTGAATGTCATCACCTCATCAATAAAAAGTGGGCATCATTCGTGATGGCAGTGGTGTCTTTGAGGTTTTACACTCAGTTGAAAAAGCTAATTTTGTCACTAAGGTCATTTATGGTCCTATTATACATCACACATTTGTTTTTATCATAAATATACTTTTTCATTTATCTGTGCCTGATAAAGGCTGCTTTAGGTAAGCCATATCTAGACACAGACCAGTACCAGCGAATTAGTATTCAGTTTGGGTACAAACAAATATGATCAAATAGGCCTGAAAGCAGCAGGTTTGTCTATGACAAAAAAATCACTTTAAATTCAAAGAAATCAGAAATAGTTACAAACATTTTAATATTCGTTTAATATGTTTGACTTACACTGGGATGGATCACAGTTACCCACAATTGCCATCATCCATAAAACTCACAACCTACAAGTTTAATAATTTGTTTAAAAAGGCTACTGTAAATATAGGCGGAGATTTTAATTTTGTAAGTTTGAGAGTTACTTACAATTCAGAGTTATCCCAGCATGAAGAGATGGGATGTAATCTCACATCTGCTTGTTTTTGTCAGTTATCTGGCTGATAATTGTAATTTATAACATGACAAGTTGCCCTAAGGTGCCTGAAATCTTATAAAAGCTGGTTGTTTAAATGTGGGTCAAAAAGATGACCATGGCAGATGTTGCAAGTTGATTGTTCCAAAAGTCTTATTTCTAGAATATTGAAGCTTTGCAGTGACGTTAATCCGTTCAAATCCCCAATCAGTGCTGGCTGTCCAAGTAAATTAGACACACTAGAGTTCCAGTTAGGAAACCACAACAGTTTCCCCACCAAGTAAGCACAAAGTATTCTGTTTTGAGAACTTAATTTTCTATTCAGATGTTCATTTTGCCCTTTAAAAAGTTTGCAATCCTGCACCTCTACCATTAAAATGTCTTGGAGAGCTTTGTTTATAACACCTTTAAGACCAGATCCTCAGGTGACACACACACCTGCTTTTAATTAAGATTCATTTCCATCCTTTCATCATCATTTTCATGTCATTTACCGATTTTACAGTATGTTTTTGTAAGTGTTGGCCTAGATGTTTTTTAGGTTTTGCATATATCATATTCTTCTACAGCACATGAAAGTTATTGGCTAAACCTGATACGCTGTATCCTTACTCTTATGAGAATACTTCTGTGTGTTTTAACTGACAAATAAAAAAAACAAAGCTAACAGTAAGTACCGAGGCTCAGTTCAGCACTGCAGCTTGAATTGCCCAAAATTTCAGTTTTAAGTGTGGAAAAAGTTCTCTCAGGTGTGTCATCACCTGACAGGTTGTGGACTGAATGGCCACTCTGCAGCATACAAACCAAACTGAGTCAGATGGGAGACTTAATGTATGTCGGAATGGCGCAAGACTGCTATTAAAATGTTTGAAGAGTTTAGTGAATGATCTGATGTGTTTCAGCAGGCAAAAACTTAACTCCGTAAAAAATCCACAGAAAGGGACGTCATTAACATGCAAAAGTAGAAAATAAATAGGGTAGGGAAAATTTAAAAAGCCAAAAATACATTTTTTGCAACATACTGTGGTGCTTTGTCTTTTTGTCTTTGAATGGTTTTTGGCCAGCAGAAACTATTAAAATGACAAGGAAGGGTAAACTTAGACATAAGAAGAATATAATGTATATAGAGAGATTATATTAAATAATAAAATACATTTTTAATTTTGTAATAGATTCAGTGTAATCAATTTAAATATTTAATTATTTTTTAGAATTAGTAATTTAATTTTTATTTTTTCAGTTTTTGTTCTCCATATCTTTTCAGTCTCACTTCAGGTTGTTCCGTCTCTGTTTAATCATTCAGCATATGTTTGAGGTAATGAAGTTTGAATGGGCGGGACGGAGTGGTTTGATTGCTGTCCGTAGCAGCCAATCATTTGTATGTTGTCTAATTAGCGCGTTGACAAAGGCGGGGACTACAAAAACGTGTCAGCCAATAAAAATCATCATGTTCGCCCTAGTGGCCAATCAAAAGGTTGTTATAGACTGGCCGTGTTTCTGGGTGGTGTTGGGTGGCTCATTTCTTCCGAGGGGGGTATACACAGTGTTATTATTCAAGGTAAGTAGTTTTGAATGTGTGAAATTTTGTTTTTCCATTAAAATGTACAAACGCGCTCGGTCACCTGTGGGTTTTTTAACAGGCTCTATGATAACAGGACGTGCTAAAGGTAGCAGTCGCTGAATAACGGTGTTAACGGTACTTCCTTTCGTCTGTGTTCATAGCGGCTGAAACGGGATGATTTCAGTCATGTTTCTGGTTTAGCTACATGGATTTAAATGCTTTAAAATTTGGCCGTGAAAATAACTGTGGGGTTGCATGTGTTTGAATGCTTTTAGTGAATTTAAAACATGCCCTGTGCGCTGTTTTCCGTCAACTGTTTACCCTGTATTTAAAACTGAAGTGAAAATAGTGTTGATATGATGGAGGGCTGTCGAAGTCGATCGATATAGCTTTTTTTTTTTTGTACCGATACCAAGACTCATTCTTAGTAATCCAGGGGATTGGTATCAAAATTTACAGTCAGATAAAATGCTGGTGCTTTAGCAATATGCAGACCACATTTTATGACAGGAAAGCTGTTATTCAAAGCTTTGCTGCTTTTTTTCTAATTACTTATACATTAGATTTAGATTTAGATAGAACTTTATTAATCCCTCGGGTGGGTTCCTCTGGGAAATTCGATTTCCAAAAAAGCACAGCACCGACAGAAGTTACAGAGTTATACACACACACACACATATATATAAATACAGAGACAATATAAATAAAATATACGAAGGGGATAAATAGAATAAATAGGAATAAAAATAAAAATACAAGTGAATTGCACATTTCAAGTATTGAGTCTATTGCACCGTTGACTATTTACAAAAGTATTGCACAAAGGTATTGCACAGTGAGGTGAAGAGGCACTACAGCTTAGTTGTTCCCCCTCCTTTGTCCTCCTGTTTCCCCTCCCTCTCCCCTCCAGAGAGGAGTTAAACAGTCTGATGGCGTGTGGGACAAAGGAGTTTTTAAGTCTGTTAGTTCTTGTCTTTTGGGAGAAGCAACCTGTCACTGAACAGACTCTTCTGGTTGTTAATGGCCGTGTGCAGAGGATGCCTGGCATTGTCCATAATGTCCATCAGTTTCTTTAATGTCCTTTTCTCTGCCACTGTCACCAGAGTGTCCAGCTTCATGCCGACCACAGAGCTAGCCCTCCTGATCAGTTTCTCCAGCCTGGATGATAATGTGTACATGCAACGATAATTGGAGTTGATGCGTTTTTGTTCTGTTATTTACTCTTAATTTACTCACTTGTTTTTGGCATGCCACTTTGTCAACTTTTTAGTGTTGTGCATTTTCCCATCCTTATTTTTCATGTATTTTTAAGGGAATTTGAATAAATTTAAATGTATTTTAGTATTTATTTATTTATTGTCATTGTCAAGAACAATGAAATTGCGTTTGGGGCTTCCATACAACCCAAAAAAAAGAAGAAAATAATAAATACCCCTTAAAACTCAAGTGTACATATTTAACCCAGTGTGACTCCAATGCAATAAGACAATCCTTAGCAATAATGTTCGTAGAAATTCAGACAAAGACCTGAGAAACATGACAAAATACAACAATGCAACCCATTCAATATTATTGTACTGTGAGATATGATATCAGATATGATAGTTATCTATTTAAGAAAGAGGGGGGGCAGGAGGGGGAAGAGAATAAAGATATGATGCACCAATGCAGACCAGTTCATTGCTATTAAGAAGTTGGATATGGTTATTGTCCGTGAGAGGGGGGCAGAGAGTTCAGGAGCCTCACAGCCTGTAGATACAGGCTGTTGGCCAGTCTGGATGTTCTGGCCTGTATAGACCTGTACCTTCTCCCTGAGGGCAGCAGATGGAAAAGGTGGCGCGCAGGGTGATGTTGGTCCCGCAGGATACTGTGCACCCTCCTCAGACAGCGAGTGGGGAAGATATTACTGATCTCTGGCAGACTTGTTCCAATAATTCTGCCAGCTTCTTTCACCACCCGCTGGAGTGCTTGCTGATCGGCCTTGGTGCAGCTGGGGAACCACACTAGAAATCCATACGTCAGAACGCTGCTGATGGCACAGTTGTAGAAGTTCAGCATCAGAGATCTGGGAATGTGTGCGCTCCGCAGTCTCCTCAGGTAGTAGAGGCGCTGTTGGGCCTTCCGTACAACTGAGGTGATATGGTTGCCCCAGGACAGGTCCTCGGTCACAGTTACCCCCAAGAATTTAAAACTGCTCACCCTCTCCACCGCCTCACTGCCAATGAAGAGAGGCAGATGGTTGTTATGACCCCTCTTCCAGAAATCTACAATGATCTCCTTGGTCTTTTTGGTGTTTAAGACCAAGTTATTGTCGTGGCACCATGGTAAATGGCCTGCATTTGTATAGCGCTTTTCTAGTCCCTAAGGACCCCAAAGCGCTTCACACTACATTCAGTCATTCACCCATTCACACACCCATTCACACACTGGCGATGGCAAGCTACATTGTAGCCACAGCTGCCCTGGGGCGCACTGACAGAGGCGAGGCTGCCGGACACTGGCGCCACCGGGCCCTCTGACCACCACCAGTAGGCAAACATGGGGTTAGTATCTTGCCCAAGGATATTTGGCATGCAGCCAGGAGGCAGCCTGGGATCGAACCACCGACTTTCTGATTAGTGGCTGACCTGCTCTGCCACCTGAGCTACAGCCACCCCTGACTCTAGTTGTTGCACCTCTGTCCTATAGTTTGTCTCATCATTGTTGGATATAAGTCCGAGCACTGTAGTGTCATCTGCAAACTTAACAATGAGATTGGACACGCAGGAGGAAATACAGTCATGGGTGAAGAGAGTGTATAGCAGAGGGCTCAGAACACACCCCTGAGGGGCACCGGTGTTGACCACAAGGGTGGAAGAGGTGTTCTTACCCACTCTGACACTCTGTCTACGGTTAGTGAGGAAGTCCACAATCCAGTTGCACAGAGAGGAGTTAAGTCCCAGTTGGTGGAGTTTGGGACGGAGTTTGTATGGCCGGATGGTATTAAAAGCCGAGCTGTAGTCTACAAAGAGGAGCCGTGCATAGGTGTTCCTGTGTTCCAAGTGCTTCAGTAATGTGTGCAGCACTGTGGCGATCGCATCCTCGGTTGACCGGTTCTCCCTGTATGCAAACTGGTGCGAGTCCAGGGATGGTGGAAAAGCAGCTCTGATGTGTTTAATGACCAGTCTCTCCAGGCATTTGGCGGGAATGGGGGTGAGTGCCACAGGTCTGAAATCGTTCAGACATGTGACATTTGACTGTTTTGGGATGGGAACGATGGTTGCTGCTTTGAAACAGGATGGTACCAGTGAACAGGACAACGAGGTGTTATATATAGAGGTGAAGACGTCCGCCAGGTCCGCAGCACAGTCTTTTAGCACCCGGCCCAGCACTCCATCCGGCCCGGCCGCCTTCCTGGTGTTAATGCTCCGGAACACACGCCTCAAATGTATTACCAATACCAAGAGAAATCCTTGCAGTAGACTGGCAGCCTGTCTGTGGTGTGCCCAACCTTTCAGCAATTGGCAGCTGGGTTAGGCTCCAGCCCCTCCCTGAAATCCTGATTTAAATAAGCGAAAGAAAGTGGCTGGATGGATGGATGGATGAATGGAATACCAATAGAATTGACAGTAGATACTCCTCTTTTTTCTGATAGAGAACTGAGTTTCTCTGTTACTACCACACTTACTTCTTTGATCAATTTTAATGTTCTTCTATTACAGTTTTAGCTGTTTGGGGTAGTCTGAAGCTCGCTGTTAACTTAGGTGAAGGGATGCACACAACTACTCGACTAGATATTTAAACATTAAGCAAATTATTATTATTATTAATGTACAACAATGTTTTTGTGTTGGTTTTAAAGCACTGTTTACACAGGACTTGCAGCAATGTCATGACCATAGACGATAGAAAGTCAGTAATATTTGGAGAAGAAAAGCAACAACAACAAAAAAACATTAGTGACGTGATGTAGGTAGGGTCCTAAGATAAACCTTCCTTATTTCAAGATGAACAATCGAAGCTACTGAAAACAAGATTGCAGGATACAATGCATTGGCAAATGACAGGGTAGTAAATACATTATTAGGTTACCAGAGGCAACCAGATTCTTAAGTGCCTATTACAAAACTAACCATCAGCTTCAGTGTTGTTGTTGGCTGGTGTTAGCTATTTTCCGATATATTGGTATTGGCATGTATATTAGATTATAAATGAAAATTTAAAAAGTGGAGAAGAAATCACAGAAACACCAGCTGTGTTATTATGAGTAACAATGTAATCCACAAGCTTTGGGATAATTAAAACAAGATTATTTTTAAACAATGCTGTCATACTGTCTTAGTAAGGATTGTTAAACAAATACATGTAACAGATGTTAGGGAAATAGTTGATGTATGTTACAACTGTCTAGGTTTTGTATGTCAGAAAGGAAAAAAAATATTGGCTTATGTATGAGAGTTTTAAATAATCAAATATCGGTATCAGTATTGGTCTAAAAAAAATCATGTATCAGTCAAGTTATAATCGATAGCAGGCTTTTTATCTTTTACACATGGCAGCAGATCATCCAAAAACAGCAACTCACTGTCTAATTTGCACTGGTTGTCCTTTATTATTCATTTTCCAAAATTTGATTGACCTGATTAAATTATTTTTAGGCATCATTTTTATTCAATTTAACTTGTCAGCATGTTACATCACATAAAAAGTGCTGTGAATTTCTTTTTTGAATGCCTTTTTTGTGTCTCTTTGTGCAGATGTCTTTAACCGCCCACTCCTTCCTCTCATGTCTTTATTCACAGCCCCTCTGTTTTTGTGTCATCTCTTCATTTCAGATGCAGTTCATGCTTCTTTTCAGTCGGCAAGGCAAGCTTAGGCTTCAAAAATGGTACGTGCCTTTGTCTGATAAAGAGAAAAAGAAGATCACCAGAGAGTTGGTGCAGACAGTCCTGGCACGGAAGCCTAAAATGTGCAGCTTTCTGGAGTGGAGAGACCTTAAAATTGTGTACAAGAGGTGGGTAGGAACTGGACTTGTTTCTGAACAAAATGTGTTCTGGTTGAACGCCCTCAGAATAGAATATTTTCACACGTCCCTGGGCAATTCATAGGCCCGTCATTCATAGACATGGCTCTGCTGGGGAATCAGGAGAGTGTTACCAAAGAGATGAAGGCATCATCATGACAGCACTCAGACTACAACAAGAAAGAGCATTAATTTAGTCTCATTATATCCTGTTGCTGTGCCAACGGACAAGGAGGCAGACTGCTTGTGAACCGGAGTGACCCCACTGGGATGGACTAACAGAGCCCCTGAACTGCTGATCAGTCTGCAACCATTGCCCCACCACACAGATGTTTATGTCCTCAGTTAAATTCTCACTAAGTGTTAATAGTTCTTAGTATTTTTTTTACATATGTAAAAGATAGATGTAGCAAATGTGATATTACCCATTGGTTTAGGACATTTTGAAGGACCGCTGCTAGGATTTTGACCATCACTGTGTTGGGTTTTTGGAATCAGAAGTGACCACATGTGAACAACAGGGTGGAGTACTAAGTTATCAGTGTGTTATTAGGCCTTGTTAGCAAGCCATTTCTTTAAATGATACTGGTGGATTACCAATCGGTGCTAAGTAACAACTTAAGAAAAAAATCTAAAATTTCACTCAAATTTAAATTGACTGTATAAATGCATGGTGTTTGATGGCCTTGGTTTGGAGCCACAGTATCTTGGTACCTTGCAGTTATTGAGTCGACTATGAGCTCCTCTGTATCTCTTCTAGAGACAAATGTGAGGACGTCTGTGTGACAGCTAAAGCTTGTCTTAAATTGGATTGTGCAACAGGACAATCCCAAGTATAGCAGTAAAATCTCATGGTTATAGCCACTGTGACATTGCCTGTTAGTTTGTAGAAACTGATTTGAAGCCTGATTTGAAGCCATGAGTTTAGTATTTTGGTAACTCTTCCCTCAACATGATAGCCACAGCCTAAAGCACGTTCAGCTTCATCATCTATTTTACTCTAAATGGGACCATAATTTATAATATGAATATCAAGTTGGTTCGAAGAAGGTCTAAAACCAGTGACCAAGATCATAAACTTACCGGGAAAATGTATGCTTAGTTTGTAGATAATGTGAACTGTTGGGTAATTTTCCCAAAGGGAGGGAGGGAGACAGGACAAAAGACACGCTGTGGAGGAGAGCCAGAGATTAATGACAGCTAATGATTAAATGCAGAGACTGAAAAGAAGTGAATGAACAAGAAGGACTCAGTGCATCATGGGAGGCCCCCAGAGGCCTAGGCCTATTGCAGCATAACTGAGGGATGGTCACCTGATCTACCTATAAGCTTTATCAAAAAGAAAAGTTTTAAGCCTAATACTTAAAAGTAGAGAGGATTTTTGTCCCCTGAATCCAGACTAGGAGCTAGTTCCACAGAAACCCTGGAAGCTCTGCCTCCCATTCTACTTTTGAATACCATATGAATGACAAGTTAGCCAGTAGTCCAAGTGCAAAGTGCTCTATTTGGTTGATATATTATTATGATGTCTTAAAGATAAGATGGGTTTGGTTATTCAAGACCTTGCATGTGATGAGAAAGAGAATAAGTGATTCTTGATTTAACAGGGAGCCAATGAAATGAAGGCAAACATAGAAATATGTCAGAATTCTACAGAATTCTGGATCAACCGAAGCCTTTTCGAGGATTATTTAGGACAGCCTGATAATAATGAATTAACAGTAGTCCAGTCTAGAAGTAATAAATACAAGAACTAGTTTTTCAGCATCACTCTGACACAGGATGTTTCTAATTTTAGCAATATTGTGCAATTGCAAGAAAGCGGTCCTACCTTTTTGTTTAGTATGTGCATTGAATGACATATCCTGGCCAAAAATTACTCAGACATCCCTCACAGTGTTATTAGAGTTCAAGGTAATGCTATCCAGAGTAAGCATCTGGTTAGATAATATTTTTAAAGCTGAGTACAGTAACCTAATTTTTATCTGAGTTTAAAAGCAGGAAATGAAATGCCGTAAATATCTTTAAGACATTCCTACATTTTAACTAATTGCTGTGTGTGATATTTGGCTTCAGGGATAGATAAAGCTGGGTATCATCTGCATAGCAATGAGAATGTATGCTATACCTTCTAAGTATACTGCTGAAACGGAGCACGTATAATGTAAATAGAATTGGTCTTCTTTTCTTTTATGCATGAGACAGATTTCTGGATTGTTTAGCTCTGGCTAAAAGTTTCTTTGCAGAAAGAAATTGTCTAATTTTGAGCAACAACATGGATCTGTATGTTGACACTAATGCATCAACCAACAGCCTGTCAGTGTGTAGACGTGTAACTTGTAACACTGAAAATTTCTCTTTATAATTTCTCACATCTTACAGTAATTTAGATGCTTGCAAGCATCGGTTTAAAACTGATCTTCATATTTTCTTTAAATGTGACAGAGAAACAGAGCAAATTAGAAGCAAATAACGAAGCTTAATATTAGTTTTTAACAAATGACTGATTCTTCCACATGCATTTTTGTTCTTTTGAGCTGAACCAGGACCAAAATCTCAGTGAGTTTAATAGAAAGCTGAGAACTGAAACTGTGCCTAAATTCTTAAAATGCATGCTGTTTCCCATCTGATATGTCAGAATTGATCCAGGATCAGAAACAAGGATGGATCCTTTGCCAGTGGCACTACTCATGGTGATGTTTGGTGCCAAATTAAACTGTCCGTAGCTCTAAAACGTAGCTCAAAGCCAGCAGTGGGTAAAAAACCTTTCTGACATAATTATGCAAACACATTTTGGGCTAATCTACTTGTAAATCTGATTCTTACCAAAAACCTTTGAGAAGCACGTAGTCCAGTTTGTTAACACTTGAGTTATTTTGAAGCCTGTATTTACAATTTTCACATTAGTTGTTTAACTGGACATAAACACTGCACGAATAGAATCACCAGTCACATTAAAAAAAAAGGCTTTTGGTTTATAAAAGTGCTTGAAGTTACATTTTTATTATGCATGTGAGAAGTTATTTGACTTTTCTGCTTCATTATGGCTCAATCCAACATGAACAGCTTCTCTGCACGTGCTATCAGGGTGCTGAACAATTCTAGTGCACCGTGATTGGATAATATGTTTCCAGGCTCAGATGTTGATTGGCTCTTTGAATGTTGGGCTGCTGCCATCTTTACAGTTTCACAGTTCTCCCATAAATTTCTTTAAGGCTTCTCCTTATATGTCAACTGTGATTGGATGCTTTGCCAGCAGAACTCATGCTGATATTTTTCCCAAAGTAGACTAAATTGAAATTCAAAGTGTACCTCCAAGTAAGGCTCTAAACTGTCTGCCACATGTGAAATGTTAATATAACCCTTACTTACGTGTTAAGCAACATTCTATAAAGATGTCTTATTGAAGACTAATCCACTTATAAAACAGGGGGACCTGTGCCATCAGGCTGCCAATGCAACATAAAGATGTTCTTTACTTTGGGAGCCTTCTCTACACAGAGTGTGCATTATCTTTTAAAGCGTTGACTTGTTTCTGGAGTGAGTCAGCTCCAGTAAAAATGCTGTCTCACTGCTCTTTTGTAATGACTGAACCGAGCCCTTTGTGCTTCCTGCTTGGCTACACCTTGCATTAATTTTCACAAACTGTAGACAAAGATAGACAACAGCTCGAAACAATCAAGAATTCACCACCAGAAAACAGCCTGGCTAATAAGCAGCTTTGCTGTTCTCTGTGACCTCTGCGAGTATTGTACACGTGTCTTTTTAAGAATCTGCAGCCCTGTCCATTGTGTCCTGCTGCTCCTCTGGTTTCAGAGGATCAACTGACCAGCTCCTTTATTAGCCAATCATCACATGCCTAGTGCCTTAGGGATTATCAGGGATAAAGAACTATGGCAGAATGGGTCTTAACTGTTTCAGCCTTCTGCGTCCGGCTTCTGGCTTTTAAATGAATACCCTGTGCACAGTAAACAGCAGGCCTTAATAATAACGGAGAAATGCCCTCTCAGCACCATTTCAGTGAGACAGTACATCACTGTGAGAGCCTGTCGCAGCTTTACAAATGCCTGAAGTCTGCTCCTTGGCTTTGGCTATTTGATGGTGTAGTTTTCACAACGAAAGATTGTTATTTAAAGGGATAGTTCACCTCAAAATCTAATTCATGTTATTTTTTCTCTGGGCTGTAGTGATGGTTATCTTTTTTGGGTGTACGGCATGCAGTTTTGGAGACATCAGCTGTGGAGATATTTGCCCTCTCTTGATTATATCGAAGACCCTGAGACATTTAAAGGACACAGCAGCCTCCTTCATGCACTCTGGCAGGAAATATAGACTCTATAAATCACACAGCAAATGCAATGCATGTTGTACTACCCTGTATATTGTTTCGACTATGTAGTTTTTCCTATTTTAGCCTTTAAGAATGAATGAAAATAACAGCCTCCACTGTGCTGATGGGGATGACTTTTTCTACTTGACAGTTGTAATTAAAACAACAGTTTTCATATGAAACTTTCTCAGAATTATTTTTCTGAGAAAGCAGGGAACGAACTTTTTCAGTTGAAGTGAATTTGCTTCTCGCTGTGTTGCAGATATGCCAGCCTGTATTTCTGCTGTGCCATTGAGGACCAGGACAACGAGCTCATCACGCTGGAGATCATCCACAGATATGTGGAGCTGTTGGATAAATACTTTGGCAGTGTGCGTTTGTGATGTCTGACTTCCTAATATTATTCTTAGTTATAATTCCCACGTGCTGAGCTGTTCATTAATGTTTAAAGTTATTGCATGTTGGTCACCAGGTTTGTGAACTGGACATTATTTTTAACTTTGAGAAGGCCTACTTCATCCTGGATGAATTCCTGCTGGGTGGAGAAGCTCAAGAGACGTCTAAAAAGAATGTGCTGAAGGCCATCGAGCAGGCTGACCTGCTACAAGAGGTAAGATATGTGATAAAACCACCATGGGAACAATAACAGTTTCAAATACTACATTTCTGGTAAAGATATTTTACACTAGTACACCACTATTTCCTATGTATATATTATATTATATTGAGGATTTCTGGAAATCTGGAGACATCCCCAGTTATTGGTGGTGGCAGCAAGTAAGGTTTAATACTTTTTGGCTCAGTTTGCAAGTCATGCATTAAAGCCAGTCTTTAGACAAAAAACATTTTGTAGTAGTTATTTTTCTTTTAGTCGAGGGTGGATTTAATCCAAGTATGGTAAACTGGTCTGTGATTGTTTCTTTTATTGTTTTATTGCATTTTATCACTACTTCTCAAAAAAATTATTTTTAATTCGCTAATGAAAATATGTGGATGAAAAAGCATGTTGTGGCTTTTCTAAGAAAGAAACATGTAGCTTCTTCTTCTTTCTTAGAAAAGCCACAGTGCGTAGGCCAGCATGGGGGAGGTGACCCACTGGTGGAAATGCTGAAAGTGGTGTAGAGAGGACAAGCAGCAATCTGGCAGCCAGAGACCATGGGAGTTTGATGAAATGTTGTGATTTGTAGACAGGTGAAATGGGTGATTAAAGAGTCAAAGTGATTGAAGTGACTGCCAGTGGAAGCAGTGACATATAAGCTAGTAAATACATGGTTATCAACCTATTTGGAACGTGGAACAGCTGCTTTGTTGAACAGCTGTCAGCTACAAAGCTGCTCCATGAGCGAATCGTTTTAAATCTTTATGTCTATGGTGAAAATAAAATGTGTTTATAGTTCGAAGGGAGATGCATGAATTGTCTCTATGAAATTGCAGATATTTTTAAAAAGTCTTTCCAAGACCCTGAGATTGTTGTTCAGATATACTCCAGTGAAAAAGACAGCTACAATCAAAGGTTTGTAGCTGAGAATGTCAGACTTTCAATTTTGTAAATAATGAGTCTTCCCGTCTGACAACACAAAGTTACTGAGACCTGCAGACTAAACCAGCCACAAAGTCACTTTTTCTGTGGTTTTTTCTTCTTGTTCCATTTCTCACTGCAGTGTCATCAAGTGATCCTCTAATAAGATTCAGTCAGTGATTTCCTGTAAAAGCTCCATAATAGAATCCATTCTCAGCTTCTAATGCCAAGCAAACATTAAGAAATACTGGTTTTGCATCGGTAACTGCTGCAGCCTTAAATAGAAAAGCTGATATTTTGACTGCCTTATTTTCTTTCATAGGTATGCTGTCATAATGGTGGATGATTGTAGTTTCATCAGACCAATCAGAATGAAATAAAAAGATAGAAGAGAAGAAGTGAAGGGCTTCACCAAGGAGCAGTATCAGACAAATAAGGATTATTTTGAAATACAGGTCATGCAAAGCTACTCTACTAGAGTCAGAAAAAAATATGGAGCTTGAAATCAGCACCATTGGTCCACGTTAATTAAATTAATGTGAGGATTATAGTTTTTATTGTAATAGTTAAATTTCATACAGCACGGTGGCACGGTGGTTAGCACTGTTGCCGCACAGCAAGAAGGTCCTGAGGTCAATTCCACCATCAGGCCGGGGTCTTTCTGTGTGGAGTTTGCATGTTCTCCCCGTGTTTGCGTGGGTTCTCTCCAGGTACTCCGGCTTCCTCCCACCGTCCAAAGACATGGAACTTGTGGGGATAGGTTAATTGGATAATCCAAATTGCCACTAGGTGTGAATGTGAGTGCGAATGGTTGTCTGTCCCTGTGTGTTGGCCCTGCGACAGACTGGCGACCTGTCCAGGGTGTACCCCGCCTCTCGCCCTATGACAGCTGGGATAGGCTCCAGCGACCCTGAAAAGGATAAGTGGTAGCGAATGGATGGATGGATAGTTAAATTTCATATAGTAGAAGTAAAAAATGTTTCTGAGAGTTTACCTCAAAGTGACAGCTGATTTTACTTTACACTCTCCAGTCAACCCAGGAAGTTGTTCAGCTCTTTTCATAATGCTCGACTTGAGTTATTTATAGTGTTTTTAAAGCATTCACAAGAACTAATACTCAGATAAGTCTCACTGTTTTAGAGTCACGCAAAGAAACGTGGACCTCGTTACCCTCAACTTCAACTAGAACTTTCTTTACCCTTTATTATTTTTACAGAAGGTTCAATGTTGAGTTCTTGTGTCTTTCTATGTTGCATCACTTCCCTGAGGGAAGGCTCGGCACTGCTGGTGCTATATGTTTATTCTCTTTTTACACATTTTCTCACATTGGAGTCTTGATGATCATTTCTGTCTTTAATTTTCAGTGCTGCATGAATACAGCCCTCAGATGATTCATGCAGCCATATTTTTGAAAATATTTTGTGTGTCTTGCTTTTAGTTTGCTTGATCTTAATCCTGATTTCTGCTGACACATTTCTCCCTTTTGCTTGTTTATTCTTTACTGTTGTGATTTGCAGAATATAGACTTTCAGATGCGCCTGTTTGCAGGTAACACTTTGTTAAAAAATCCCTATTCTGTAGTGTTAGATCTGTAGCTTTAGATTCACCAACACAATGTTAAATCCAGCAGAAAAAAAAGATACCAGCAACACCAAAGTCTCAAGTGTCATCACCACACTTTGAATTTTGAAGTTGCTGATATGTTTTCTGCCTCATACTGACCCTATATCAACTCCAATGTCTCTGATGTCACTGTAAACCTAACCAGCAACATTTAATGTGACGAATAGTTACACAAAATTGCTTAAAAATAAAATAGCATTCAGTAGTTTTTAATGAAGAGCCTACATTTCTAAGTTACTTATAAAAGTTTCTGCACAGGCCTGGTTCAAGGTTGGATGTGGGCAGTGCTCAGGTTGTAGTCTTCAAACAAACCCTCATTGTATTCACTGCTGTGACAAACAGGACACTTCTGTTCTAGATTAGCATTTCATATAGTGGGAGCGTAATTATAGCATCAAAACCACAGTATCGCAGCAAGGGTCATTTTGACCATAAGCGCTGTCAGCAGGATACCAGTACACACTGATCACAGCTCCACAGCTGGTTTTTCACCCCACTCTCAATCCCGGGCACAATTAATGTTGTTTTGTCAGCGTCTGACGTAAAAAGGGCGATTTTACTAAACGGAATAAAATAGCGTTGATAGGTGTGGTTAGTTTTATCGGTGATTTACAAACGTTGCACTGTTTTCTAACCACAACAAAAACACGGTTCATTTCAATATGACATACCCAATGTGCCAAGAGCTCTGACTTCAGCAAGTGTACGGGACATGCAAAGAGACACAAAAGCACTTGTGACCCAGACACAAGAGCATGACAACAGCGGTATCTGGTATGGCAAAGTCAGTGGATACTTTACTACAGGCTTAAAATTCCATAAGTGAAATGCTGTTGCACATCCTTGGAATAATAACAAGAAGCACCTCCACTCACCCTGGACAACAAGAACTGCAGGGCGCAAAAAGAAAGTGTCCTAGAAGCCAGGGAGAAACCAGAAAGCATCAAAAATAGGCCATGTTTGTGCATAATATCATGACTTATGCATATTATATTCACATTTGTTTTATTTCTTGCAGTTTCAGTACAGTAAATCTATTTTAAAAGTTATGTTTTTCAAGATGGCACTTTGATTATTATTTTAAGCATTCAGTTTTTTCTCTTTTTAATAGAGCTATCTATAAAGACTACAGCTTCTGTTGAATTTATTTCAGCATATGACAACAATAGCATTTTCTGTATTAAATGCTAAAATAGCCAACACATTGACCATTGAGACAACTGTCAAATGTGTACATCTGTCCATGGTCCTGAAATTATAGCTATAGTTTTTTAACACAAATGCATTGATCAGAATAAAAACAAAAAGCACTTCCAAACTATCAAACCAATTCAGAACATCAAAATGAAAAATGGGCTGCTATTATGACTTCCTGTGCCTGCCATCCAGGATCCTATCCTGAAACTGATCAAGCCTTGATTAGTTTTAAATTGCAAAGATGAGTTGCACTCATCAGTGCTGATTGTCTCAGTATGATTTGAATATGTTGGCAGTCTGTTTCCGTTAATAATACAGACAGCAGTTATTTGCAGTCCTTCACCAATCTGCCTGCGAGTGGTTGCAGTCAGTCTGAGTTGGACCATGATTGTTTAGAGCACCAGGTGACCTATGCATTTGGCTTAAGATTGAAAGTGATCGCCCAGAGGCTGAACGTGTTGCCTCCTCAGCCTCTAGGTCACTGCAACTAGTGGGAATTGATTTCCAAAGATGCAACCATGGAGGTATCATTTTTTTCTTTTTCTTTTTTTTTTAACTAGTTGCGAGGTTGCCATCCTACTTTACTCTAGTGTGACAGAATGCTAACCAAGTTTAAGTAGCTAAAGCTAAATGAATAATTTATAGTGCTTTATTTAACCAAGTAGTTTTTAGTAAACATTAAAAAAATCAGCATGTGAAGAAGAAACGGACATCCTGAACAAAACAACGTGAAGCACAGTCTCCAAGGTGACAGACCTTCGGCTCATGCCATTACCATGTGTGTGTGCTCCCACTGTTTATTGAATGTATAAAGATCAAAAGGTAACACCCACGGAGAGCTTCAGAAAAGAGCGGACTGTTCTCAGTTTTACCAATTTGTTCTGGCCAAGTCAGGAAACACTTCAATGTTTCGATCTAGTGGCTTTCATTGGAGCATGTCTGGTACAATGTAAGTCTAATCAGTCAGTTAGACAGCAGACTGATTGGTTTCCTGGATTTGTTTGTCGAACATTTAGTCTGTTAGTGCTCCAAAAGGCCACCGCTAATGAGTTCTAGGAAAGGAAATCAGGCCACGGCTGACAGCCCATTAACATCTACATGGATAAAAGTGATGTGAACCATGGAGAATTTCTGAGGAACACTTACTTTTTGTAAAGCATAAATAAAAAGATTTTATAAATGCTCCTATTAACGATTAAAATTGTTTATTTATTTTACAGTTTAATTGAAGTGAATTGACTAAAAAAATGGTTCTATCCTTTATATTTGATAGAAATAGAAATGTCTGTGAAGACATTCAGGAAATACGACAGATTAAAAAAAAGTTTGAAATTTCACTCAAGTTACAACTGAATATAAATTGGACCTAAGTGAGTGATGTGAAGCTGGAAAGCATTTAGAAGTCTGAATGTGGTTGTTTGCCATTAGTTGCGAGGCTGCTGCCACCACCCAGCCAAACCCATTATCCCAGAGGACAAACCGTAAAGCTGTTCATTGATTTATCGACAGCAGGACCATCAGATGGAGAACATACTGTACTGAAAGGCTTAGAGTAAGGCTTTTTCCTGTAAGTGTAGATCTTTAAAATGATTTAGCTGATTTTCTCACTTAGGAGGAAGTGAGTTCAAAATCTGAAGGGGACGAAGCCAAATCTGAGTAGGAGAAAAGGTCTCTGACTGGCTCAATTCTGTATTTATAGAGCCAGAGTGAAGACTGGGGAAGTTTGCCAAATGAGGAGATCTTATAAAGAACTAGAGTCCGTCCATGCCTCCATCCAGAGTATTGATAAGTACTAGACTGGTACAGTCAGTCAGTCAGCATGGGTTTCCAGTTCTGCGTGCCGTCAACTGCATGTACGCCTGTCAGTGTGACTGTCTCATAACTCTGAGTCTAGATACAGGCTGCGATCAAAGGGTAGTCCGACTCTGCCCATACAAAGAAGAAACCTTTGCCTCTTTTAAATTTGATTTGTTTCAATGTAAAAAAAAATCATCTTCCTCTGCACCTCTGGACCACACCCAGCGCCTGTGTGACTCATTTGGACCATTTGCATGTGTGTTCTGCAGTTACACAACCTAACCTAACATTACGCAAAGAGCAACTCCTACGTCAAACCAAATTCCTAAGGTGCATGCTCATTGTATTTTTACATTTGTGCAAGGTTAATTCATTCAGTACAAAGTTTGATGACTTTGCACGAAAACAAAAACAGGTTTAAGTTCCTAGTTCGGCTGTTAATTGTCTCATTAGGTGGTACACGTAATAGATTTGTCTGTTGTTGCTGATTCTACTATAAGGCAGGAGATTATGCATAAACCACCGGAACTGTAGCATGTGCCATCGTGCCCTCACTCACAGAGACATACCAACCCACACACTGCTTATCAACCAAACTAACAGCTCTTTTCCACTAATACCTACTTGAGTTGGTTCGGCACGGCTCGACTCAGTTTTTAGGGATTTCCACTGAGTTGTAGTACCTGGTACCGGGCACTTTTTTTAGTACCTACTCGGCCAGGGGTCCAAATGATCTGAGGCAGTCTGAAAATATAATGCCAACAGACTGCATGGCACAGATTGACGTCACTCAATGAGTCATGAGTCTCTATCATGAAAATCAAAACCACCATTATTTAAAAAAACAAAAACATCCCCTAGCAAAGATAAATTGGCTTCACGAAAAATAATACCCTCATCCCCGAGTCTGCCAAAAAGCCATACACCGTGTAGCAGATGTCCTCCTTTGTTGTGGCTAGGGCTGCCACAAACGATTATTTTGATAGTCGACTAATCAGATCATGCATCCATTGGACGAACAACGTACAGCTTATTGCACCAGCATGCATCTGCTCTTATATAACTATCATTAGCTTACAGCTTGCTATCTAAAATATAACAGGACACCGGAGTATATTCTCGAGCATCTCACACTTCTGATAATCAGTTGTCTGCTTGACGTTTATTCAGCTGTGTAAAAACTATAACTTTAATCTTAGCCAAACCGATTTACTCAGGAACAAATAAAATACTGAAAAAATCCAAACAATAACATTTTTAAGTTATCTAAGTGACTTATACAGTATATCATGTTTAACCTGAGTAGCAAAAGACAGCAGTGGGTTTGAAAACGATTTGCCGGGAGTCCGGTGTTCTCAGCGGCTCTAGTGAGCCTTGAATCCCGGCTAACTATCGAGCTAGTGGGTAACAGATGTCTCCGAAAAAGTCGGAGTGCTTTTGAAAATATGTGGTGTCTTGATAAACTGAGCAGATATTTGAAGTTTACACAGCTACATTCTCGCCTGAAAATATGTTAAACGTTTATTTTGTGACCCAGAAAGAATAATAAGAGTAATATTAAAACTAACTAGCTGCCGCCATTGTTGGAAACTGAGCAGGGCCGCGCTATGAATTCTGGGACACAGCTTCTTCTTCTTCGGGGTTTAACAGCAGCTGGCATCCTTGTACATGCAGTGCTGCCATCTTCTGTTTCAGTTCGTTATTACACTCTTAAATCCTACTACTTATTCCTGCAGCTTTTGTGATCTTACAAAGCTTCAAACAACGCATCGACGATTTTAATAGTCGACGTAATCGTGACTAGTCGACTAATCGTGGCAGCCCTAGTTGTGGCATTCATGGCCTCACAGGCATCACAGGACTTTTGACCGCATTGCAATAACAACCCTACACAATTTGGTGGTACTCAGTTTTAATGGAAAACAACAGAA